CCCCAAAACCCCAAAACCCCAAAACCCCTAATTAATCTTTTTACATTGAATTATAAATTTAATGCATCTCAGTAACCACCACCCTTCATTCCCTGCCCGAAACCAATCCCCTTCCTACTGGGCCAACTCCATCCTCCAAAACGACCAACTCGACCTTCACCTAATCTCCCTCGAATTCCAATCCGCCCAGCACAAAAAGTACCTCCTCACACCTCACCTACAGACTCCAGTACAAATAAATTACTCCACTCACAGATCAAATCTCTTCAGTCAGAAAAGTTAAAGGCCAAGCAGAGGAAGAAGAGGGAGGATTACCAGGAGTGACAGGAGTATAGTAATATGATGAAGTTTACGGAGGAGTATGAGAGAGTGAAGGAGAAGAGGAGAAGGAGTAGGGAGAGGGAAGTGCAGATGGAGAATCTTAAGTAAGGTGCAGAGGGGAAGGAGAGGGGTGGGAGGGACAGAGAAAGGGGATTTGGGGAGTAGTTTTGAGAAGAGGGAAGGGGAGATGGTGTTGGGGAGGGGGTTGAAGCCGAAAATTGCATTTCCTGAGAAGAACAGTCAGGTTTTTTTGCAATTGAGAAATAGGAATATGAATATTAGTAATCCTCAAGTTATTAGATCTGAGAATGAGTTTACAAATGTGAGAAGAAATCCTTATTTCAAGTCAATGAAAAGTAGGTCTTCTTATTGTGCAGACTTCAACTTTAGGAATGATAAATTTACAGAATCTTTTCAAAGATCAGAAAGAATTAAGTAGGAGACAGGGAAGACTCGAGGATCTTCAGAAAAGAAAGTTATCGCACTCGTTTGAATCAAAGAAACATCTTATGCCTGCACAAAAATAATACTAAGCCTGTAAGAAAATCATATATCAATTTAGTATGCTAACTTGGTCTATAAATCATCACAGCATAAGCCGATAGAAATTCACAAAAGCTATGAACTCCTTCCATCTCAAGCTATCCTAACAGCTCACAGAGCCTCACTTGATTCAACCCAGACTCCTTACCTGTAAGTAATCCATCCAATTACAAATAGGAAGAAAGTGTTGTCTAAATCAACCACTCAAAAATAACATCGGATCTGTTCCCCACCACTCAAGAGATGGCTCCTTAATAAACCCTCCTAAATTTGACCCCAGCCAGTCAATCCCTGCTTCAGAGTGCACCATTAAAGTCATCAAGCAAGACAAGCTGTATGTCTCTTCTTTGCAAAACTCTTTGCTTTATTCACGATTTTAAATTTACATATTTATTTGAAATTACGGTTTTAGCAACAAAATCAAACAGAAATATAACAAGCAGATGATGGCTAACAGAGTTAATAGAGATATCGGATATAGACAGTGAAACCTGAACTATAGTCTTGGGATCTAAGACAATTTCAATGATACCATATGACTGTGGGGTTTTGGGGTTTTGGGGTTTTGGGGTTTTGGGG